GCTGATGATGGTGTGTTATGGAAAAAAGGAAGGCAAGGTTCAGGAGGCTGTAAATATGGTGGTTGAGTGGGGATTTGACTGGGGGTTCAGGTTTTCGGTGGAAAAGGCAAAAATTATGTTCTTTACCAAAAGAAAAGTGAGTGAGACTTTGACATTGAAACTGTATGACGAGGTAATTGGGGAAAGTGAGCTCTTTTAAGTACTTAAGTGTTGTGTTTGATTCAAGACTGACATGGAGGGAGCATATTGACCAGATTGAAACCAAATGCAAAAAGGATATTAATGTTATGAGGTGTGTAGCTGGGAGGGGTTGGGGAGTGAGCTCTTATGCTTTGAAAAGACTTCACCAGGCATTAATTAGATCGGTCTTTGATTACGGGTGTGTGGAGTATGGTTCAGCAACTCCTTCTGTGTTGAGACGTTTGGATGTTCTGCAATCGGAAGCCCTTAGAGTGTGCTGTGGCGCTTTTAAAACGTCTCCAGTCAGTGCCCTACAGGTGGAGATGGGAGAAATGCCCCTAGATCTTAGGAAGAAGCAAGTGTCGGTGAATTACTGGGTTTATCTTGGTGGTCATGGTGACGCACATCCCACAAAGGAGGTACTTTTGGAATGCTGGGAGTATGAAAGAAGTCAGAAGGATCATTTTGGAAAGGTGGGGAATCAGTGGGCTAAGGAGTGTCAAGTGTATGAACTTAAAATATGTCCTCCAGTAGTGTTCCCTGTGGTTCCTCCATGGTTATTGGAGACCCCTCCTGTGGACTGGTACTTGCTGGATCTGAAGAGAAAACTGAAAGGAAGAGTCGATCTTGTTTCAGCATTTCATTTTCACAGCTTGGATGAATACCCTGAGTGTATTCATGTGTTCACGGATGGTGCTAAAAGTCCAGATACTGGAATTACAGGGTTTGGAATAGCAGTTCCGTCAAAAAATATTGAAATAAACAGCCGCACTTCAGATGGACTGGCAGTGTACACGGTTGAAATGGTAGCAATTTTGGTAGCATTGAAATGGGTAGAGTGTTCAAAAATCAGGCAGGTGGTAGTATGTTCTGACTCGGCAGCTGTTCTTTCAAGTCTACAATCATTTTGTTCGAAGACAAGGCAGGGCATGCTGTATACTATTCTGGAGACTATAAGCAGAATTAGGTGTTTTGGTAGCAATATTCACTTTCTTTGGGTGCCAGCTCATGTAGGAATGAGTGGAAATGAAAAGGTGGATAGGTTGGCAAAAGGAGCGTTGACTAAAAATGGGACTGAGATGGAAATTAATAGCAGCGGATCTGAAGCAAAAGGTATTGTTTGGAGGCAAGTTGTTCAGGAGTGGCAGAAGCGGTGGGATTCAGGGAGTAAGTGCAGGCAATTGTATCATCTTAAGGAGGTGGCAGAGAGGAGGTTGTATAGGGGTAATAGGAGAGAAAAGGTGGTTATTACCAGGCTTAGACTGGGACATTGTGCATTAAATAAAACACTACGGATGATAGGAGAACATGAGACAGGGCTTTGTGGAGTGTGCCAGGAGGAGGAGACGGTAGAGCATGTGATACTGCGGTGCAAGGGTTATGATGTGGAGAGGAAAGTTCTGCAGAATAGATTGAAGGAGCGGGGAATTGGGGAATTTAATCTGAAGAGTGTGTTGGAGGGTAGTAGGGCACAGGTGAGGGAACTGGTGGGGTTTCTGAAGGATATAGGTGTTTATGAAAGAGTGTAGGGTCTTTTGTTTTGTTTTTTGGATACAGACTGTAAGCTCACTGTCTGACCCATACTCCGGAACAGTAGGAGGCGGTAATGCTCCTTTACGTTGGTTGCCAACCGCCGTTAAACACGAAAAAGAAGAGATCAGTAGTGAAAAACAAAAATTGATGAATGGTGACATTACATTTGCTGCAGTAAGGTATTACCATTGTAGTTGTAATATTTCAGTTTCTGAGGGATCAGTATCAGTGTTATTGATAGTAGAAATACTTAAAACAAGATTCCTCATATGTAGTGTTTATTTGATTAACAATTCGCCCACTTTTTTATTTTTATTTTTTACTTTGAGTGCCACAATCAGGTAAATCTCCATTTACAGTTTTACAACAACTTTCTTTTGCAAATTAAAAAAAAGAAAAGTTGTGGCTAAAGGGATACAGGACTGACATTGGAGGGTTTTTATTTTGAATGTAAACTCTCTGCCCAATGCATTGGGTACACCTGTTTAACCGCTTGTTAACAAAAGTATCTAATCAGAAAATGACATGACATGGCAGCAGCTGCTTTTATGCAGACATGGTCAAGAAGAGCTGCTGAAGTTCAAACTGAGCATCACAGTGGGGAAGAAAGATGATTTAAGTGACTTTGAACTTGGCATGGTAATTGCTGTCAGACATGCTGATCTGAATATTCCAGAAACTGCTATCCAGGGTTTTCAGAGAATGCTTCAAAAAGAAAAAATCTAAGACTAGCCAAACTATTTGGAGCTGATAAGAAGGCAATGGTAATTCAAATAATTACTTGTTACAACCAAGGTATGCAGGAAAACCTCTCTGAACGCACAATATGCTGAACTCCTCAGCAGCTGGGATACAGCAGCTGGTGCCACTCCTGTCAGCTAAAAACAGGAAACTGCGGCTTCTTGATGTACACTCACACACCACGTAATTAATTACTCCGTACTAGTACTGGGTTATATTGTCTAAATCAGTTGTTTTATTTCTATTCTGGATTATTTTTTTAGTTGTATAAATTATTTTAATATAAGTATTTCAGTGGAACAAAATGGTTCGGGAAAAGGTATAACAATACAAACACAAAATGTATTGAAAACGGAAGATTCAGACATGTAGACATTATATTCTAAACATCATATTAATACCTGGTGTGACCAAGTTTTTAAAAAAAAGTTTTTATATATATATTTTTTATTATTATTTGAGTTGATTTTTTAAGTGGATAATGTTACTTTAGTTGCTTTAGTCTAGTTTTAATATTATTTTACTTTACACTTTTTTTTTTTAATTTGAATTCTAAATAATAGCTTTGTTTGTCATTTGCTGACTTCGTTTTCAACTAAATGTCCGCATTTCTTTCTGAACTGAAGCGTCGATTCCTTTGTGCCGCTCACATCAGTAGATTTGTCGACCCCTGGTGGTAGTAACTCGGTACCGCAGACATTTTTCCATGCTCGGTAAAGTAGACGTGGCAATGACGTCAGTACCGGAAATGACCCGGATCGGAACTTTAACTCCTGGGTATACTAGTCTTCACCAGAAACACCGACTGGTCTGATAATGTTTCGATACCGATTCAGGTGAGTTGAAACCCATCTAGCTTTGTTTATTAAATAACTTTAAAACTCGCACCTTCAATTTAAGTTGGCTTTCACCGAGGTGAGATTGGAGGGACCGTTCGAAAACTCCCGTTAGCTCTCTGGAGCTAACGTTAGCCCGCAGTTAGCCGGTCAGGCCATGATCAGCTGTGTGTCGTGATGGGCGGCCTTCACACAAACAGACCCAGTCCAGGCTCCAAATAATCATCGTTACCTAATGATATATATATATATTTAGCTTGCCTGTTTATTTATATGAGCTTTAGCACAGTTATTTGGGCTTTATTTCCACGCTGTCGCGGTCTTTGTGACTAGCTTTTGGCTACCGAATCTCCTGAATTTGTGTTTTATCTGTTGAATTTGAAGCTGTCGGCCCGGAAAGCTAACAAGTGACTTTTTTTTTTTCAAATTTTCAGACATGAATGATAACCACCTTTCGATGTGAATTTGTCCGTACACCGCGAGGTCTTAGTATTTATCAATCAGACAGACCCCAGGAGGAGGAACCGGCCGCCCGGGTGGCGTTTGATCTATAGCGGGCAGGTGATTCATTATCAGCGGCAGCATGACGTGCCGTGACCGGACACTCGAGTTCCAGTCAGCGTGTAAATCTCTCCAGGGCAGACAGGTATGTTGTGTCTTTAAAAAAAGAGAAAGAAAACAAAAAA